GCCGCAGTGCCTCCTATGTTCGGGGGTGGGGGTGGGGCTGGGGCTGGGGCTGGGAGTGTAGGTATATTTGTTGTTCCTTCTGAAGTCCACAACCATCTTCGTTTTCTTCACAATAATGTGAAGGTTGTTCTTCCTGCACCAGATCTCCAGGTGTTCCACCTCTTGTCTGTAGCTGGACTCATCATTGTTTGTGATGCATCCCACCACCGCTGTATCATCTGCAAACTTTACATTGTGACAGCCTGGATGGGTAGCTGCACAGTCATATGTGAGCAGAGTGAACAGGAGGGGGCTCAACACACATCCCTGAGGGGAGCCAGTGCTGAGGGTTATGGTGGAGGAGGAGAGGTTGTGGATCCTCAAAAACTGTGGTCTGTTTGTTAAGAAGTCTAGGATCCATATATATTTATAATTTTGCAGGAAGAGGCCACCTGCATCATGAAGGACCCCACTCCCTTCAGGAATGAGATTGAGGAGCATTAAATGTAGAACCACTAGACTGAGGAACAGCTTCTACCCTGAGGCTGTTAGACTCATGAAGTTCTAACCAGAATAATCACTGTGAAAAAATCACATCATGTTGCTGCTGATCTGTTTCATGTTGCTGTGTTCATTCGTGCTCATCTGCTCACACAGACTCATGTTCGTGCTGCTGTTCAACGTAATATTTTTATGTAGTTAGTGCTTAGTGTATTTGTATCTGATGTTGTTCTTAGTTCATATCTTAGATCTTATTACTGTTTTTCTTTTACATTTTATTGTTGGATGTAACTGGGACCCTGTGTACATAATCTCGTTCCACCACATGTACCACGTGAGATGTGAATGACTAATAAATCTCTTTGACTCTGACTCTGATATATATGAGTTTGTGTGTGTGTGTGTGTGTGTGTGTGTCTAGTTTGGAGTTAAAGTCCCCCCTGAAGAAAACTCCACCAGCTGCCACTGGCAGCAATGTTCTTTGTGGAGAGCAGTGTCTTTCTCCTTCAACCCTGCCGTGCACACCGTTGTTGTTCAGTGTTCTCTGATGGTGGACTCATGAACATTAGCATCAGTCAATGTGAGAGAGACCTTCAGTTGTTAGAAGTTATTCAGGGGGTCCTTTGTGACCTCGCTGACTATTTTACACTCGGACATCACTTTTAGAGTGATCTTTGTTGGTCCACCACTCCTGGAGAGATAACAATGGTTTTGAACTTCCTCCATTTGACCACAGTCTGTCTGACTGTGGACTGGTGGAGTCCAAACTCTTTACAGATGTTGTGTAACCTTTTCCAGCCTGATGAGCATCAACAACTTTTTTCTGAGCTCCTCAGAAATCTCCTTTGTTCCTGCCATGATCCACTTCCACAAACATGTTGTGAAGATCAGACTTTGATAGATCCTGTTCTTTAAATCAGACAGGGTGTCCACTCACACCTGATCATCACAGTGGTGTAGTGTACGTGATACACGGGCATATGGAGTACACCCTCTAGAAAAGCTTAAGAATTTCAGTATACCCATTTAAAAGAGCCCAATGATTCATGACATGTTATTAGACATGTGTCATTAATACGTTAAATGGCAGTTAAATGCTTCTGTAACAATCTGTATGCAGAGCTTGTTTATTACATTCACTTATCCAGCAAATTATTGTATAAATAATACATTTGTAATTACTACTCAATACTTGAACATGTTTTGCTTTGATACTGTTTTATAAATTCTATAAGACGTTTTAATACAAAGTCAAATGTTGTACAAAGGTTGTTGTTCCTTTATTCAAATATAAGCATCAGAGAAATTTGGAAATGTTCAATATGCTTAAAAATCAAAATAAATTGATGATTTCATTGTACTAACTGGTGTACTTTGGTTTCTAAAGGACAGTATATAGACCAACTGCTGTAAAGTTAGTTTTATGTTGGGCAATGGACATTCGCGCTCCGTGGCTTCTGCGATGTCCAACGTCCAACGTAAAACTAACTTTACTGCTGTATACCCACTACATAAATGTAGACTACATCACTGGATCATCATCCATTGACTGAAAACACCTAACTCTAATTGCACCTTGTGTATGTGTATGTGTAATGTGTATTATTTGCACTCGGCATTGTACATAATTTTACTATTTATTACAATTAATGTATTTTATGCACTGCTCTTTTACTGTTACTGTGAATGATATTAAAATGTTCCATGGCCCTTACTCTATATATGTAATAATCAGTCTTAACCGGTCAGTAAAGGGACAGCAAGAGATAACTATTATCTTCAAGGTGAGTGACATGATTACAGTGATGTCTTTCTTCGAGAGCCCTTGAGAGCTGCGGGCTTCTTCTGTCTGCAGCTGGACAGGGTGGGGAGTGTCTGGGGGCTGGCAGCTGAACGTTTTCTACAAAACTGATGTTTTTCTGTTCAGGAAGTCAGAATGGGTCGGAGCCTCAGACAGGTTTAAGAATTGGTAAGTTGTACTTGTAAATGCATTGATCTTCTGTGATTGATAGCTGTTTTCCAAAACTTTGGAATAAATCTATTGAAGCATGCACCTGGTTGTTTTGGGAATTTCTTTTTTTCCACGGCAGCCACTCACAAATATGTAATATTGGATCGTTTTCCTCAATAAATAAATGACCAAGTACAATATTTTTGTCTCATTTGTTTAACTGGGTTCTCTTTATCTACTTTTAGGACTTGTGTGGCAATCTGTTGATGTTTTAGGTCATATTTGTAGAAATATAGAAAAGTCTAAAGGGTTCACAAACCTTCAAGCACCACAGTTTAGTTTGAGTAATAAATCACTTGTTTTTGTCAGTGTCACATGGTCTCATAGATATTTTGCTTGGTCAGAACATCTACCATCTGTTTTAAAAACATGTGAAAATGATGTCTGTCTGAGAATCTAATGTTTTGTCTACTTTGTCTACATTATCAGAAGTGTCAAACTCACTTGCAAAAGGGGGCCAAAATTAAAACCTTTTTCAAACTAAGGGCCAATTTCAGAATCTACATTGACTCAAATCAGATACTCAGCATCTTTTCTTGGTCACAGGTTCCTCAACAAGAGTTTGATTGGTCTAATTTGATGTTCTCTGTTGTGCTTTCGACATTATAATCAACGATTACTGAAAAGATTCAAGAGATAGAAGTATTTTACGTTTCACATATCGTCTTGGGGGCCAGATAAGATGTCAACGAGGGCCACGTTTGGCCCCCGGGCCTTGAGTTTGACACATATGGTCTAAATGGTTTATCTCCAACTTTTCTGTCTATGCTACTGAGACAACTCTGTACTTAGCTTTCTGTTCAGTGTGGTACACACCATGATACCAAACAGCCCTGTGACTACATTTCACCCTTTAAGTAGGCAGACCATTTACAAGACTGAAGACACCTGATGCAGATTACAGACATGAGTTAACATGTCTCTGTGCTCAAATTAGTTTCAGTCGTACCATTTCTTTAACAAGACCAGTTCATTAGTTATTTTCTTTAATAAATAACTTTTTTTTAATAAATTACTTTTAAACTAACTGTGTCAGTTTCAAGTTTTTCTGCAAACTTTGAGTTTTGTTTCTTTAACAAAAAAGTTAAAACAAATTAGTTTGTATGTTACTAGAAGACGGCCTTACAAATTCAGAGTTAAACGATCGTGTCAAGTTGAACATAAATAAATATGAGACTGTACAGTAAAAAAAAAAAAATCACAAAAAAGACGTTCAAAAATGTTTCAAAGCAAACACATTTATTTAGAATGAACATTTTGATTTTAAAATGTACAAAAATAGACCACAGTATAAAAATTACCCAGCCCTTTGATAAAAAAAAGTTAAAAATCATACAGAAATTTATTATTTTCCATCTAATCCACTTAATTTTCATTCCAGATTTATTTAAACATCAAGTAATGTTAATATGGAAACTATCAAAAGTACAAAAAAGAAAATCCAGGTTCTGAATGAACGTAAAACAGGAATTATTAGAGCAAAGATGTAAAAAGGCTTGTACTGAATGATCTTAGATTGTATTCATATGTTGTGTTTTTTAAGATAACATGTCAGGAAATAAACAGCCACATCTTAAAGCTTGTATCGGATTGGACCACAGCTTTTGGCAACTAGTTGGCCTTTGCAAGTAAGTCTCCAAAATGAGTTTAGCTTGAATTTTGAAAACATATATTTTTAATTTTGACCATTTTTCTTCTTGAGTTGTTGCAGAGTTGTCATATGTGTCTCAAATATGTGTCAAACCATTAATTAGATTTAATTTCCATAACTCAAGAGCTATAATGAAACTGAATGGAGGCTCTTCTTTTGACAGAAAATACCAGAGGCTACATTAATAACAAATTATAATCAAAAGTCCTGCCTGTTGTCACTTCAAAGATCTACTTCAGAATAGTTGGTAAATGTGAGGGCGGCTGCCAAGGTCAGTACAGATCGGCTGAAAAATGTATGTGGGCCGAGATGAATGACTATAACGTGCATAGGGACGTTGTTTCACAATCTGTTAACTTCAGACACTGGCCACACAACAAGCGGCTGCACGGTTCACTGGTCGGGGCTGTTATGAAAATAGGAGACAGAAATCAAACTTACAAACTTTATTACAGTAACTGGGCCATTATGGCAGAAACCATTACAGAACATGAAGTCTCGGATCTTCGGTACGTGATTTCCTCGAACAGAGTTTAAAGTGTTGTTTGATGCCACAGCAGCAGCTTTTAGTAACAGGAAGTAAAAACAGCAACGGACGAGACCATAAATGTGTTCACTGTGTAAACCTGTGCACAGCAGAGTCGGTTATTGTGTCATCCGTGGATCTGGAGCAGTTCTGAGGCCGTTCGGGTTGGCTGGCAGTGAACCTTCAGCTGTGCGTTCACTTTGTGCCTCCGTCAACTGGATGAAGAAAAGCTGCCACACCTCTTCCTCTTCCCAAACTAAATGTTGACAGTCTTCATCACCGACCGTCAGCCCTCCAGACATGCCACAGTTTTATGTACAAAAATAAAAATCAGTTCTTTTATTTATTTATTTTTTGGTTTCAAAAGGCTCTGCTGGGAGGAGACTCCTAGAAAGATTTCCATCTGATGGCCGACAGAATGGTGTGGACGAAGTAGAGGAACGTTGCTGTAAAGGAGAAAACCTTAAAAGACAAAGAGAGGAAATTTTATTTGTGCACAATCTGGTTAGAAGAAATAAAATCATACAAGTCGAGACAATATTAGACTTTTAAGTCTTCATTATTCACCTCAGAGAATGTATTTATAATTAATTGTTGATTGGTTTGCACAGTTGAAACGCGTGTAGTTTTTGATTTCTTGCTGTCATTGAAACAGTTTGCTTTGCACAGGAGAGCATCCTGTGCTCGAGCATCAATGTGTGGCATGGAGGCTGCACAGCTGCAGAAAGAAAAGCTTTGCAGAGAGTGGTGAAGGCTGCACAGAAATCTGTTGGAATCAGCCTCCCCACCATCACAGACATCTACACCTCCAGATGCAGGAAGAGGGCCACCTGCATCATGAAGGACCCCACTCACCCAGCACACACACTTTTTGCCCCACTCCCCTCAGGAAGGAGGTTAAGGAGCATTAAGTGTAGAACCACTAGACTGAGGAACAGCTTCTACCCTGAGGGGCTGTTAGACTCATGAATATCTAACTAGAATAATCACTGTGAAAAACCATATCATGTTGCTGCTGATCTGTTTCATGTTGCTGCTGATCTGTTTCAATGTTGATGTGTTCATGCGTGCACATCTGCTCACAGACTCATGTTCATGTTTGTGCTGATGTTCAATGTTTTTATGTTATGAGTGCTTAGTGTATATTTAGTTGATGTTTTTCTTAGTTCATATCTTAGATGTTATTACTGTTTTTCTTAGACATTTTATTGTTGGATGTAACTGGGACCCTGTGTACATAATTTCGCTCCACCACATGTACCACATGAGGTGCGAATGACAATAAAGAAACTCTGACTCTGACTCTGACTCTGACTAAACATTAGACGGAGATAAAACCAACTGAAAATATTCAGATGTCGAACTCTACGACCCCGTCCACACAACTACCGTACTCTTCACCATATCAGTCGCACCTTGTTGCATAAATTTGCATGCCCTTATTTATTTATTAATTTATTCAACTTTATTTAACCAGTCAAATCCCATTGAGATCACAGATCTCTTTTGCAAGGGGGACCTGGGCCTGAAGGCAGCAAGAAAATCCACACAAGCATTAGAAAAACAGGCAAACTCTACACAGAAAGACCCCAGGTCCAACAGGGGATTGAACCCAGGACCTTTTTGCTGTGAGGCAACAGTGCTAACCACTGAGCTGTCGTTGCTTCAACTTATACACCAAAGCAACTAATGTATGTTTATTTCCCATAATTATAACCCATTTTTTGTGAGATTTGACGATTTCATTCATTCTGACGTGAAAAATATTGACCACTACCATTTTCAGTCACTAGACGGAGCTCGAGTAATATGGCAAGCCAAGTGTCTCATTAATAGGTAAATGTGGCTGTTAATGAGACACTTGGCTTGCCATACAGAGCCACCTTCATCTCCCTCTGGAAGTCCTGGAGCAGACGTCAAATCAGCTGCATTTCACCGCTCTGGAGAAATGTAGCTGATTTGACCATTAAAGTGCATTTATTAAGGAAAAGTTAGACTGAGACACACATTCAGTATAATGTCGAGCAAACAAATGCTTGTTTTTAAGTGTTAATCTTGTTAAATTCTTGTTAAAGTCCTCCCGTGCACGCTCCCACGGCCTCCATTTCGCAGCCAATCAATTTTTGGCACAACACCGGACCATGTATCCGGGTTGTCAGTGGTGACGCGTAATAGATGCGCCTTATATGGCAGTGCGACGTGTACGGTGGCAAGTGCGGTAGATATTTTTAAAGAAAGATTTTCTGCGTTTGTACCTCTTGTCCACACACAAACAAAGCTTTATGGGGTGACAAACATGTTTTTCGAAAAAAATAAATAAATAAATTGAGGTTTTTAAAAAGCATAGTTTTTTGTGTCTCCGTGTGGACGTCAAATGTGGAGTTTTTCAAAACCAACATCAGTGTAGCTAAATGCCCACTAATATTAGAGTCGTAAAAAATAAAACAATGGGACAGTTTTAGTTTTGTTTTCTCACTGCAGCTGTTTTGCTTCATCGTGATCCTGTCACCGTTAAATAAGAGCTCAAAAGTTTCCACTGAGTGGAAATGGTGAACACTATGACAAAATAAAACCCCAAAACATTTACACTGTTTAGCGTCTCTGTTATCGCTGCCTTAAATTCACAACCAGCAGATTTCTCTAACACCGTCAGCTGTGTCATCAGGTTCACATCTGTTTCATGAATTAAAAATTGTTATTGATGCCAAAGCACCTCTGACATATTTGTGCTAATTGCAAACATTTCACATTTGTGAATAAAAAGGTGTTTACTTGCAAATGAAGGTTTTATTTTGATTGCTGGATCTTAAAAACTTTTTGTTCTAGTTTCTGGGCGATGGGGCGCAGGGGTCATGGAGCCATGTCGGTTGTTCGTGCACGCTCCCATCACGAGAGCCTCTCACTGGCTTGTGGTGTGATTGTGCATGAGCTCCAAGGTTACATAAACCCCGTGCTCTGTTTGGTCTTCTTAATAACACACCAAATATTTCAGAGAACCCATCACGTGTTTTTACGAGTTTAATTACCTTATTGGTCACATTTTAAGGAAATCGTTGTGTCCTTTTCACGCCTCAGCTAAAACTTACCACTGCAGAGATGCACAGCTTGTAGTCTTTGACGCCCTTATCAGTGGTGCCATATCGCAAGGCCAAGGTGACGAAGGCCAACTCAACTGAGGCGCTCAGGTAGAAGACGGTGGCGATAAAATGATAGATGAAGTCCTGAAAGAGGAAGAGAACGATGAGAGGAGCATCACGCCCACACTTCTCGTCACAAACTCATAAATAATGAACTAAAGCTGCGTTATTTGGCTCAACTGTCCAACACAAAGACGATGAATAGTTTTACTTGTACAACTGTCTGAAGTTAGCTTTACATGGAAATGTAACACATTTTATTCCATTTAAAATAAAATATGCGACTGTAGGTGTGAGCTTGTGGCTGATGGCAGTACTGGTCCGGCTGTCCCATTAAGAGATTAAGGTGAGTCAAGAATTTATGTATGTTAAATTAATAAGTGACTTTACAGTCCACCCAGTCAGTAAGTCCATCTACAATTTATTGTATCGGTAACTTTTTTTTTTTTTTTGCAGTACTAAAAGATAAACCAATGAAAAAAATAATATATATTTGTCTTTGAATGTAGGACTTTCAGCATCAAATTTAGTTGATTAATCTTGACATCTGTTCTGAGTTAACACCACCAGATGCTTATTACCTTTTGGAGACAAGATTTTGATCATTTCAAATCTTAAACGTCTTAAAGTTAGTGGCCAGTAAAGTACTGGTCGTTGTTTTTGCTCGCTGCCTAACAGTATAATTATAATTTTCCTGTGTCTGTTTGTCTGTCAGTAAAATATCACATGAGATCACATTTATTACTTTTAAAACTGACCAAAACAGTAAAAACCAACATTTCTCAACACAGTCTTGTTAAACGGATGCGTCTTTGTTCAAAGAAAGCCTTTCTTGACTCGATCGAGGACTTACTGCAGTTGCCCAGCCACCCGAGTTGTAATGGCTCCCACAGGCGAACACCATCAACCAGATGAAGGTCATGGCGAAGCAGAAGACAGAGACACACATGACCCAGCCCAGAGGGTTCGCTATCTCCACGTAGGTGCACGCCACCAGGATCCACACCAAACCGCCAATGATCTGCAGGGATACAGAAGAACGCCTTCAAATATCTCTTGCTGAACAATGAAACAAGTGGAAGAACAAAAGGAAACGTACCCCCCACCCCCCAGCAATGACTGGTTTAAAGACATTTATATAATCTCTTGATAAATCATCTGCCTAATTCTTATGGGCATTTAATCTAAATAAATACGTGTCGCTGTTCAGCCTTTATCCTTCTATTTTCACGACAACCTTTTTCATCCCACTACTCCACCCACCGCTTTAAAAAAGTCTCTTATAAAGAAGGAGTTCAAAACATGCGGATTGATTGAAATAGTAATGGTATGCTGCACCGTGGAAGGAAAATTCAGAAAAAGCTGAAAACAACAACAACATCATAGACAACAAACTGTGATTTAGCCCAGCTCTCTTCAGAGCTCTCCAAAGCTCAGGCCTGTTGTAGAAACATTAAAGTTCACAGAAAGCTGGACTCAACAGAATGAACTGGCATTTTAATAATGTCTTACCGTTGTGAATTAAATGGAGAATTTTTAAAGGCTTTACCAAAAATTATTCAGTTCAGAGTTTATGTCATACCGTCTAAATTTATTAACTTTTGAGAACTTTTATTTCACATTTCCTGTGACGACTATTTGTAGAGACTGGACCTAGGAATGCATACAAGCACGGGACACTCGAAGAGAAAAAACTTGAAACCAGTAAAGAAAACAAACAAGCTGTCATGGCAGCAACTAGAAAACAAACAAACAAACAAAACCTAAACTGGAGGCAGCATAGATGTGGCTGAAGAACTTTATAGAAAGGAACTGATGACAAGTGGGAACAGGTGAGAGTGGGCGGGGCATGAACAGAATGGTACAGGGAACAAAAAATTAAATAAACGCTCAATCATCCAGATGGATAACAAGAAAAAAGGTTAAATCGTGTCTGGACTTCATCTTACGCAGCACCCTGCAGATGTTGGATGCTGTCTATCACGATGCGCAAAGATTCATAAATGGCTATAACTATCACCACTGCACCCAGTATTCACTGGTTAACAGGTCATCATTAACTTCACCCAAACTCTCTCACTGGTACATGTTCATCTTTAAATCACTTCTTGGTCTGCTGCCTTCATACATCTCCTACATGTCTCTGCATGAGTGCAGCTACAGCGTGCGCTCTCAGGACATTATTACCTGCAGTGTTCCCTCAGTGAGGACTGAACTAGACAAAAGGACCATCTCCTACTCCGTTCCTGTTTCCTGAAATATCTTGCAAAAAGATCTGAAGCTCTTGACCTCTCTAAGGAATTTTAAATGGTGAATGGACTGTACTTATAGAGCCTTTCTATCTGATCAAGATACTCAAAAGCACTTTACACAACAATCTGGTAACCAACCAGATGATGGTTACCCATTCATACAGCACTCTACTAGATCCCTACAAAGCTAACTGAACAAATCATTCTAAAGAGACTAATCAGAGCTTTAGATCACATTCAAACACTGATGGGACACACATTGGAGGCAGTGAGGGGTTCAGTGTCTTGCCCAGGGACACTTCAGCATGTGACTGCTGGTGGATTTGAACACCCAACTCTCGCATTGGAGGACGACTGCTCTAACCACTCAGCCACAGCCGCCCTAAGGAATTTTAAACAACTCCTAAGTTCCTGGCAAAAACCACCACCAACATGTTCCTGTTTTTAGTATTTTACATCGCTTTATAATGTAGCTGTTTTTGACTCATACCATTTTCTTCCATTTATTTTTCAGTTCATTTTGCTTTCTTTTATGATTGTCTACTGATGCCATCACTCTTTGTTTAAAACAGGTCTCTCTTGTAAACGAGTCCTCGAGGCTCAATGAGACTAACCTGTATAAATAAAGGTTGAATGAATGAATGAATCTGGACCAGTTTCTTTAAGTGAATAACATTTCATCTCCTATTCAGAAGACTTGGTCAGTGTGCAGCCTGCCAACCAGAGCTAAAGAAACTAGTTCAGATGACATGATATGACAAAGCCATGGGGTGGAGGTGGTGTAGGGGCAGGGCAACTGACTCAAGACCTAAAGGTCCTGGGTTCAATCCCCAGTCATTGCACACCTCATGGTGTCTCTGAGCAGGACACCTCATCCTCATTTGCTCCATGGGAACCTTCATAGCTGCCCACAGCACCACCTGGTGGTGGATGGGTTCACAGCAGAGAACCAATTCTGTCTTTGTATGGGAACATACAATGATGATGATGATAACACATTACATTATTTTTGTTATCTAACCAGATGATTGAGCTTAAACAACAAAGTCCATGCTCAATAATCCAGGTATACAATTCAACATTTTTCAGTCAGGTCATCTGGACAGTTCCTTTTTTTTGTACTGAAACGTTTCGCCTTCGTTCCGGAAGGCTTCATCAGTCAAGGAAACACACAACAAAACTGATTCTTCCCCCAACCAGTTTTCAACCAGTTTGAAAAGATTGTCAACAAGGAAGAGGGCCAGCAATGGAGGAGGGGGCGTACCAAAGAGACCATCTTATCACAAGCAGAACTGGTTTGTTCCACTTTGGAGTTGCTGTTGTGGGAAGAATCAGTTTTGTTGTGTTTCCTTGACTGATGAAGCCTTCCAGACTGAAGGCGAAACGTTACAGCACAAAAAAAAAGAAACTGTCCAGATGACCTGACTGAAAAATGTTGGATTGAGCTTAAACCTTTTTTCTGAACCATTTTGACCTTGGTATCCTCAGGCTGTTTCTGTGAGTAGCAAGTTGGCCATCTGGCCTAAAACATTTGATTGTTGTACATGATGATTGATTGTTTTGGACGGGTGTGCTCTGTTTGCATGTGTTAAAAGCCCGTTTCTGAGATTCCAACAGGAAGTTGGCTGGAAACTCAGCAGTGAAGGGTACTTATGGGGCAGATGTGGTTGGCAGGCCACAGACTCATGAAGTCTTCTGGATGGGGGACGAAATGTTTCTCCCTTAAAGAAACTGGTCCAGATGACATGATTTAACTTCTTTTTTTTTGTTGTGCAGGGAACACTGTGAAAAACTGAAACACAGAAAACAAAAAAAGGAAATAAAGCTAGAAACACAAATCCAGTGGACGGATTCTGACATTTCCAGTTTTTCACATTTTTGTTTACAGTTTATTAATCAAAATACGGTTGTTTTGATGTCTCTCACTAAAACATGACGTATCTTTTTTTTTCTTCTTCTCAAATTCCCACAAAGTGATGAGTGTGCACCCAAACTCTTGTATACATCCATCTGAGTTCAGAACTGGAAGTGTTGTTACATTTTCAATCAGGTCATCTGGACAATTTCTTTATTTTTGTGGAAAGACGTTTCGCCCTCTATTTGGAGGGCTTCGTCAGTCTGAGGAGTCCCAAGTAAACTATTCTCCCCACTAAGCACTCTTTTAGTGGACCAACCAGTTTGCTGGTGGTAAGATGATTTCCTGTCCCCCATCAACTTGGGACCCCTCAGACTGATGAAGCCATCTGGATAGAGGGCGAAACGTCTTTCCACAACAAAGAAACTGTCCAGATGACCTGATTGACCATTATTGGATTTTGTACCTGGATGACTGAGCATGAACTTTGAAGTCTTGAATCACTTTGGCTGTAGCTGCCTGCATAGGAGGAGTCGACGGGGGACAGGGCAGCCCCCAGAAACCATCTTATCACCAGCATACTGGTTGGTCCACTAAAGGAGTGTACTGCTTAGTGGGGAAAACAATTTGGACTGCTCAGACTGATGAAGACCTCCGGATAGAGGGCAAAACGTCTTTCCACACAAAAAGAAACTGTCCAGATGACCTGAGACCATTAATTGATTTTGTACCTGGATTATTGAGCATGAACTTTGAGACCTTGAACCACTTTGGCTGTGGCTGCCTGCCTGGGAGGAATCAATCCACAAAAAAGAAACTGTCTAGATGACCTGACTGACCATTATTGGATAGTTAAACATACTTGAGAAAAAGATTTTAAGCACTACATATCGACTCAGTCATGCAAACGCGCCGTCATCATTTGGTCCACCTGTCTTTCCAGCTCGGTCTGCAGCAGAGATCAGGGTGTTCATTCTACACCTTCATTCATTGGCATCTGCATTATTCACGGGGCCCAGCCCTCCTCCACCCTGCCTGTTTGCTTTGTTTTCGTGTGGGCGTGCACGAGATAATGCATGTCAGCACGAAAACACCTGAAAAATTCCAACGCTCTTTGTGCTTCCTGATGGCACTCCTTCTGCATAAAAACCTTTGTTCCTAAAACCATCAGAAAGACTTATTCTAGGAACAGTTTGACTTGTCTCTTGGCTTGTGACCCGTCACATGCTCGTTCAACATTCTTGACATTTTGTTAAAAAGCAGTGCCCTTTCTTACACACCTGCAAGATTTGGTTTACAACAAAGGAACGTTTCTGCTCAGCCCTCAAGACGAGTCTGTCAGGAAAATGAAAAGCAGTTCTTTGTTGTCACATCTTAAACTCAGATGATTTTTAAAAATCTGCATTTTTCCTGATTAGGTTTAATAATGTCTAGACAGATACTAATGTACTTTCTGTTTCTGAATTCTTCTTTTTATTACTTCTAAATATTTTACCATATTTGTGTCAAAATCTGTGCAGAAGACAAAATAAGGCATAAAAGTGAACATTTCCATAAAAGTTGCTTCTTTTAACACTGTTCAGTGAAAGCATCAAACAGGAAGAGTAGCATCAGATACTGGTTTTGTTTTGTTAAACCAAATCCCACAAGGACAATGGGCTTTCAGTTACATCCAGGTTGAACAAACATTTGTTTTCTCTCAAAGTAAAAATAGCTTCTAAAAAACTGATCCAACTTGTTAAAAAATGAGAACCAGATTTTTTCGCAAGTGGGTTGTCAAAGAGACAACGCAGGTTCATCAAATAGTTGGCAGAGAGCCTGAACATTACACAACAGGGAGGTTTATACATACATACATGTGTGTGTGTATATATATATATATATATATATATATATATATATATATATATATATATATATATATATAT